GCACACTATTGTAGGCACACTTCGATATCTTTTTTCAAGTCCCACCTAGAGAAAGCTCCACCATAGACTATGACGAACTGAGGAGTAAGAAAGCCTTATAAGGTCATCCTTATACGGTCCTTATACGGTCTGTAACTAAATGAAGCTAGCTATGCAACGGAAATGCTTTGCGAATTACCCTACATGTTCTTTCCATGACACAATCCACGCTGTCATCATTCAGTCTTTAAACATACTTATGCAAAGTTATACAGTCAAACCTCTTTAATACAGACACCAAAGGGACAGAACCAATTGTCCGCTTTACAGAGGTGTCCGTATTATAGAGGTAGGGAATGTAAGATTTTTGGCATTTCTGGGAGTAAACCAACTGTCCGTAATAGAGAGATGTCCGTATTATAGAGGTGTCCGTAAGGAGACGTTAGACTGTACTTTAAAAAAATTCATTACTTTTGTAAAATGAATGTTTAAAAGCCTGATTGACACACTTCGCAGTGTCTTAATGATGAAAGAGTGAGCCAGCTAACGAGCTAAATGCCTTGAGTTTCTTCACCAGCTTGAGGTGTTTTTTATGTCTTCCGAATTGTCATACAAAACGATAGGCAAAAATTAAAAAGCAAATTGAAAATTGCATGATTTACAAAAGGGAACTTTGGATGACCTTTTTTCAAACCGGAGCCAAGTGCTAACACTTCAATTTGACTAAATGAAAAATGAAGTAGACTAATAATTTCAATAAATAGGTGGGTGCTGTTTTTGCGGGCTAGACCATTTTGTTGGTAACAGGAAAAGCGATTAAAATTTTATGGAGAATCAAAGATAACGGATATTGAGGGAGCAAATATCTTTGTGTCTTACTAATGCTCGCCAGCGATTAAAATGTGTCAGTTAAATAAAACTTCAGTTTAGTGATCACATTGTAACGTACAATGGAGGGCAAAAGTGTTGGGACCTTTCCAGTGATATTACTAAAACTAGCGACCCCTCCCTTCCCACCCCAAACAAAGTTGGATTTGGAGCAAACTGGGTGAAAATGAGTGCTTTTTTTGGTCACAACATTGCAAGGGGAAGTGGGGGGGGACGGATGAACCCAAAGCCGAACAAAAAATTGTCCTTAGAAGCAGAGTCCTACGGAACTATTGCTTGGAAGGGCTTTTTCACACAGTCCCAAGTTCTTTTGTCCTCCATTGTAGTACTGAAGACTGAAAAGGGAAATTATCTTAACACGAATTTCACTAAATTAAAAAAGCTATACTGATCGACTCTTCCTTACCCTCTTAAACTTTCCAAAAAGTTTAAGTTCTATCACTGATATTATCTGAGATTTTACTTCCTATTTTTACTGCTGCCAATTATTTCAACATGACAGTGTCCAACAAGAAGGCTCTTGCTACTTTGGACACTGTACACAAATGAACTTAATGTCTTTTAGTTAATTATTATTTGTCAGCTACTTTGTTTTCCTACCTCCGTACACTTATGTAAATATCTTATATAGTGTGAAATAAAGAATTGAATTGAATTGAATATAAAAGAAATCAGCGCTCATGAAACTTTATTTTCGCTGCAGAGTATTAATTTCTGGATTTGTGTTCAGTATAACGTTCTCTGCCAGAAGAAGTTTCATATTTGTCACTTAAAACAAGCAAAGCAATTTAGTGGTACACACTCACGAAGTAAGCATGAAAACAAGGCCTAAGGGCCTACAGAGTTTCTGCAAACTTCGATAAAAGTGAATAGGGCGGCGAACACAAGAACGGATAGCGATTCAGAGATATAGAATTAACCCCGAAAGATATTCCTATCTCGATTATAGTCTCTGGCTCCTGTTTTTCTGTACATTATTCTACTAATGAGGTAGATACTACGCCAGTAATTTAGTACTGTGGAATCTTCTTGCGGTAAAGCTATAACGCCTGTCTAACTATTGGCTCATCCTCTTTTGAGTGTGAAGTTTATTTATTCCCAGATTAGTGGGTGAATGCTTGCCATTCAATCCCCCACCTCCCACCCCTCCCTCCCCAACTAGCTGTTAAATTATGTTATCGAACCTGTTTTGGAAAAAGTTAGTGAGAGTCTGTGACATGGTTACAAACAAGGCAGCAAGACTAATCTTAAATACAAACAATTTGGGTTCATCAATTGCCTGATCTGTGACTGAGATGGCTGATATCGACTAATAGAATAAAAGCTTGGACGATCGGAAAACGAACAGGACGCCATATTATGTGTCTTGCGAGAAGGTCTTTATTCCCTTATCGTTGCGAAACTCGTTTTTAGCCATTCTCATGCTAATTTGCCAAAAACAAGTTCAAAGAAAGAGGAGTTGGTGAAAAATGCAGGTTTTTTTTTTATTTTTATTTTTATTTTTTTTCACGAATTCACTACTCGTTGGCAGTCGCCAAGGGTTACAATTGCCAGGTAACATTTTCAGTGTTCAAACGCCAGCTGCCAGCAATAAAAACCACACTGAAACTAGGACAAAGCCCTATCGATCAACGCCTTAATGAAAGCATTTTACCCCCCCCAACCCCCATGCCACCACCACTCTCATCAGTTTACGTATCTATAATGTCTCTGATCTGCTATTTGCCACATATTTGTATGCCCTTTACTGTCGCGTTTTCCTCTGGACCAAGCTTTGGTATGAAGCTTTTACAGTATTGCACTACGACACCTGTGTTTCTTAATTCATCCCTAAACCCGCTGGATTGCTGGATTGCTGGATTGCTGGAAGACGAGACACATTCGTCACACTCAGTTATGGACCTACTTCGAAAAGCAAGTCTAGTAGTTAACTGAAGAAGATGCTTTGCCTTTGCGGGTTAAAAGAACTTCGTTGAGTGGAGGGGACACAACTTTAAAACTATAAAACAAGGAGCTAAAAGAGAGAGGCAAAGATCGAGAAAATGGCCTGTATCCCTTTTTTATAATTTTAGCCGGTGTTATTTGTTGTTGTTGTTGTTGTTGTTGTTGTTTTTGTTGCTGTAATTGTCTACTTAGTGTCTAGAACGCACTGTAACAGTACTAGTAACTGTAATTTGAAACATGAGCTTTTACATTCTGTTACAAAACAAGGACCTTCCGTCCCCTAGAGTCCCTTGAGAGCCCACTGATCGTGGGCTTGAAAGTGGCCAATGAGATGATTCGCGTTCTTCACGCAACACGTGGCCGTTAAAAACCGTGCGCACGGCCGACTTCCCAGAACCAAAAACTTTTCGAAATTTCTCTGACCAAAAGGGCATTGCTTGATTCTGACGAGTAGGAGAGAACTGTGAAAGCTTTCTGGTCTTCAGGAGTTTGTGAGTTATGGTGAGTTTGCAAGTTGTATTGTGATGCACGAGCGATTTTTGAGCTGAGTTTGCATACAGTAACCTGCCTTGCTTTGGCGCTATACATATATGCAGGAAAACACGTTGATGGAGCCAACAACGAGCTATAAAACCGAAGAAAATGGCCAGGTTACCCCGAAAAAGCAACAACAAACCCAAGTTGAGGTGAGTGAAGTGTATTTCTACATTTAAATGTATGTCATTTTTTCCAAGGTTTGAAAAATACAGTTTCCGGCATCATGAACAATAATTTAGAAATTGCTCGTTATGCAAAAAGCAAAGAGTATGTTGTAGTGAATTTTTTATCTCAGGTGATTTATATTTTTCTTTTGTTTCAGCTTCATTAGCATACTTTACCATACCCACTAACAAAGAAAAACAAAAATTACCTGACATAAAAAAATTAACCACAACAAGTATAAAAACATGCAGTAATTTGTGGATCGAGCCTTACGTTCGTCATCAAAATGGCAGTAAGTGGCAACTTAATCAAAACCATTTTGATGCAGGGCCGTAGCCAGGAAGAAACTACAACCGAGGCGAACACACGGTCCGTTGTACGAAATCAGCCGTATGAAATCTTCTAATATTATCAGTCTGGTAAAAAAAATAAGAAACGACAGTATTTGGTAAAATTTTACCGAGGCGAGTGCCTCGGTTCGCCTCATACTGGCTACGGCGGTCTGATGATGAATTTATTGATCGTCAAACGAGCTGGACGTGATCTTATTCGGCACAAAGATGATGGGTGCGACAGCTCTTTAAACAAACTTCCTTCTTTTCTAAACATTAAAATTAAACTAGGGCAAATCAGTAGAATTTTAATAACTTAACAAAAACGTGTTCTATTGTACCCGCAGAAAACGTTGAGTAATGATCGACAGTTTTGTCAAGGGGAAATCTTGCATATACCCTGGCATCAACTTATATCAAGCTCGATTTTAGTAATTTAAATAATCCAAGATATCTGCCACCTGTTTGTTGAAAGGACATGGTGCAAAAACTCTACTAACATTATGAAAGATCAATACTGAACAATAATCGAAAAAAGCCATCAAACTCACTAGAATCAATAACTAGTTGATCTCAAGACTTTAATTAGTTTCCAAGCCATTTAGAACAAATACATCTTATCTATGCAAATATAGAATTTGATCTGAGAAATATAAGCACGTACAAAACTAGAGAGGAAAAAAAGCCTTAGGGTGGAAAATTTCAAAAGCTTAGTGAAGTCTAATAGCGTAGCCGAGAAAAGGACAGCAAGTTACACAAAATGCTCACCAAGGTTTTTCTATTTGTCATACAGTACAAGCAAAAATTCTACCGACTATAGACTCCTATTTTTGCGCCCTGAATTTGCTATATGGTGGCAGAATAACCCGAAGCTCTTAGTATATCTACGTTCACTCTACGGTCAGGAGATTGGCAATCGGAGATTTGCCGATTCTAGTCTTGACGAGGTATTTGTGGTCACTCGAACTACTTTGGACCAAGTGCTATCAACTATCTGAATTAACTATCTTCTGCTAATGAGGAAGCCAGGGTAGACCTTCTCTTAAAGTAAACCATAAGATGATCATGAAGTTCAGAGACCGATAATAACAATATTTATTTGAAAGTTAGCCTTACGGAAAATTCTACTAGACCGGGCTTGGAACAAAGTCGTTT